CGCCCAACGGGCTGTCGATATCGGGAGGGAACGGCGGGAATAAAGCCCTTCCCCGCAACCACCGCTGCCGCCGGCCCGAGGTGGGACGGGCGGGGAGAGAGATTGTCGAGAAGAGAGGCGGAGAGGGAGAGAGAGAGAAAGGGAGAGGGAGGGAGGGAGGAGAGAGCTGGGGCTGAGAGATGGCGCGGGTCGTGCGGCTGCGGCGGGTAGTGCCGCGCTGCCGCGCCCCAAAGTGCGTGGGGCCTCTTAGTATGCACTCTGGTGGTGCGCGCACCGCGGGGAGGGGACCCGGGGGGAGGCGGTGTAGGCAACCCGATAGGCACGTTGGGTTCCCGAGCACGACGGGGTGGAGCCTATAACTTTGAAAACTCTTGTCTTACCACCAGCGCGGCCGCTGCGGCGTGGCGGGGCTCTGGGAGTACGACTACAACTTCTTCCTCCAGATACGGAGCCCGTACCCTCGCGTTCCCCCGCCCCTCCCCGCGCCTCGCGCCTCCTCCCTCAGACCGCAGCGAAGTCGGGCCGGCCACCCCCTCCCCCGCCGTCTCTCTCGCTCCCCCGCCGCGCCCAGCCCCGCACCTATCTCCGTCCTCGTCGCGTTATCGGCCCTTTCTGCCTCAGCGAATCCGCAAGTTGGTATACACGTAACGAACGCCTCCTGGAGCCGGCCCTGCAGAGCCGGGCAGAGCCGGGCAGAGCCGGGCACTGAGCCCCATAGTCAGACCCCCCATCCTCCCTCCCCCTCCCCCGGCCACTGATACCACCCCGCACCGCTGATACAGTAAACAACATTTACGGCAGTCTGCTGCTCGTCGATATAAATCTGTTATAACACGTGAAATTTTGAAATACTTCATACTGCTGCATGCTTTGACCACAGTTTGGGTGGTCGATGGGAAAGCACCCGCTCTCCACATCCCCCTTCTGCGCCTGCTCCTGTACTCACCCTTCTTTCTCTGTTGTTGCAGTCATGGACCTGGACAGCGTGCAGAGCGACGAGACGGCCTCGGGCGGGGACAACTCGAACCCAGGCTCCTGTGCCGGCGGCGACGACGACCAGGCGAGGCTCAGGCTCAAGAGGAAGCTGCAGAGGAACCGGACCTCCTTCACCAACGAGCAGATCGACAACCTAGAAAAAGGTGAGGAAACAGACTCGTGTGAGTTAGGGTCCATCAGCCCAGACCAACACGGCGGGTAGAGACAACCACAGGCGAACGTCGACGTATCGATAGTCGATGGCGTTCCACTCCAGCCCCGGCCCACCCCAGCCCCAGCGCCCTCGGGCACGCCACAGCGCCCCAGCGCACCCAGCAGCCGGGTCGCTGAGAGGAGGGGACCTTGAGGAAATGGGGCCGAACTGAGTCCTTTCTTTGTGTAGATAGCGGCAGGGAAATGGGAAACGCGGCGTGGGGCGAAACAAAGAAAAAAAATCTCAGCTCTCAGCAGATATCTCGCGAGCGTTTCAAAGAAAGTAATCTCCCTGCAGCTTTTTCACGGTCAGAGCACTGGCCTCATCAAGATCATCCTTCTATAGGTGTGCTTGCCTCACTCTAATCCGGCCTTATTCATCCACTTACAGAGTTCGAGAGAACGCACTATCCGGACGTCTTCGCGCGAGAACGGCTGGCCAGCAAAATCAAACTCCCGGAGGCCCGCATCCAGGTAACGTATACAGACGCTCCTCTCCCGCCTCCAAGCAGGCCGCCGACGACCCCAGCATTCAAGTCCCCCGTCGCTCTGCTTGCAGGTGTGGTTCTCTAACCGTCGGGCCAAGTGGCGGCGCGAGGCCAAGGTGCGCGACCAGCGGCGCATGGAGCCCTCGGCGGGGCCGCCGCCGGGGCCGGCCTCCAACCCCAACAGCGGCGCGGCCCCCGGCGCGGGCGCGGGCTCCGGCGTGGACTGCGGCACCGTGGTCGCCCAGGGGGTGGGGCAGGGAGTGGGGCCGCCCACCCCTGGCCCCGTGACCCCCGTGGGCAGCGTCTCCCCGCCGCGCTCCCTCATGAACGGCGGCAGCGCCAACGGGCCCTTCAACTGCTACTCCAGCATCACCAGCATGGCCGACTCGTACAGGTGAGCGTTTAGGACTATAACAGGTGATCGTGTAGTCGGACCTAGTCTAACCGCCTGTTCTCTCTGTCCGCAGCGCCATGTCTCCCATGTCCACGTTCAGCATGTCGGGATCGGCTCACGCTCACGCCATGAACCAGGGCATGGGCCAGGGCTCCGATGTGACGGGGATGATGTCTGGCGGGCTTTCCGGAGGCCTGTCCGGAGGCCTCTCAGGCGGGTTGTCCGGGGGCCTGTCGAGCGGGGTGTCGTGCGTGCCCCAGCGCGACTCGCCCTCGCCCTACTCGTGCATGCGGCCGCATTACGAGACCCTCGGGCTGTCCAGCGGCCTCTCCAGCGGCCTGTCTGGAGGGCTCTCTGGGGGCCTGTCCGGCGGCCTGTCCTCGTACGGCTCTAGGCCCTCGCCGTGCTCCATGCAGACAGCCTACCACCACCACCACCATCACCAGTACGGCTCCTCGCTCAGTTCGGCGGGAGGGTCCTCAACAGGTGAGACATGATGCCATTACACGTCCGAAAGCCACCTGCATCTCTGGTAGACCGAACGGAATCGGATTGGGATTGCGCGATGAAAAAGGACGACCATCCGGTGTGTGGTCCTTTCTTGGGTTTATTTCAGCGGAGATACCTCGTGCTCCGAACTGCCGCGCCCCGCGCCTGCTGGCAGTGCTTTTAGCGCGCTCTAGCGGCGGACTCCTCAATATGCTCATGGTGTATCGCCGGCGCAGAACGGGGTTGAGTCCTATAGACTCTAGAAAGGGGAAAGGGGGGGGAGGGGGGACGAGCGCATTTTTTACAAAACTCTAGCATTGCATCAATGGATCCAACGACTAAAGACCTTGTTCTCTCTGCTTGCAGGTCTCATATCCCCTGGAGTCTCCGTGCCCATTGCAGTCCCAGGACAGACACCTGGACCGGACATGTCGGCACAATACTGGCCACGGCTACAGTGACCCCTCTATCTCTGTCTCTGAATGTGTTAATTAAATATTGTACCACCTAATTACACTGTACGCTGCTCTGAGCGGCAGCGGTTTTGTTACCCCGCTAGTATTTAACTATGCACAGAACATGTGCATCAAATGTTTTGGAAAATGTGAAGACCATCCTTTTGGTGGTCACATGCAGAATCATTAGGATATGAAAGTTTATAGCCACTACCTGATTAATGTTTATGGTTTCTTACTCTGTCATGAACCTCATCGTCTAATTGGAATTTCATTTATATATTTCATATGCTTAGATAATTTCCGCTTAAAATAAGAAATATTTTCAGCTACAAACTAAATCTGAAAGATTAAGAATCACAGTTTTTTAATTTGACTAAGTATAATCTCTTCTTTAAACTAAAAATTTCTAGACACATATTTTCAACAATTTTTTATTTTATTTTTCTTTCAAATGGTGAAGTATTCTATCAGAGAAGGAAATTATAAACAACAATGAACAGCACCGGAAGTCGTTTTGCCACTGATTCAACATGAGAAACACAGTACTATTCGATTCATATCCAGTGAAATGAAAAGAAAACAAAAGGAAAACACCTTTGGATATCACTGTGCTTCTCATTAGAACCCATGAATTGGCCCTACTTGTCATATATTCTGAATGTAATTACTAATTTTGGAGTACTGCATGTTTGTCATGCCAAATACTGGCACACGTCCATATTTCAGCATTTCATTTACATTAACTAAAACAAATTTGGCGTCATTGGCTTTGAGTTGGAAATCTGCAGTGCCTACTGAGTTTGGCATTTGTCAGCAAATTATTATTTTATTTATTTGTGTATTTTTTCTGTGCAATTTTTCTTTTGGTGTAGAGTGCTGAAAAGGAGGGGATAAATTTGAGTACAGTATGTTATTATTATTATTAAATGATCATAAGGTGATAATGTGGAATGAATTCCTTTTCTCGTGATATGCATGCAATCCTAGATGGTATATAGAACATGCCGCTATCAGAGTTAATGAGTGGCTAAGAGGGTGTGTTCTACATTTTGTTATATATAATTTCCCCAAGTCAAGCGCAGGCAACAAAGTTGTTTTGCACCCCTCCATTGTTCTTAGAGTAGAATCTGTTCAAAAAACAAAGTGATTATACATATATTATGTAAAAATTTATTGTAATTTTAAAGAAGATCCTGCTGTGAATTTAGAAGCTCCTGTTTCTGAATGTTATTGATGATCTCTTGACCAAATAAATATGTGAATTTTTATCAACTGACTGCGGTGTATTTCCTTTATGGTTGGCATCTCGGCACCTACGCCACCCCACCCAAGTGTGACCGTATGACCCGAAGTATGACCCTTCTCAAAGCTCCCGAACGCAAGCGTATACGCGACGCTACGGTCCTTCCCCGCCGGCACTACTCCATTCCACAGGCCCCTTACCCCCTTCCTCAGCATCCACACAAACGGGACGGGAGAGAGGCGCGGTTGGGGGGAGGGGGGAGATATTCCCCCTCCACTTATACACTTTCACTGCCCTGAGGGGGCCGCTTTCTTCCCACTGGTACTGGTCACTGGTCTGAAGCTCAGTATGTTGGGGCAGGGCAGCAGGAGGCCGACGCCTGAGTTGGCTTCGTTACAGCCAGGTACCTTCCACAGGCCCCTTACCCCCTTCCTCAGCATCCACACAAACGGGACGGGAGAGAGGCGCGGTTGGGGGGGGGGGGAGAGATATTCCCCCTCCACTTATACACTTTCACTGCCCTGAGGGGGCCGCTTTCTTCCCACTGGTACTGGTCACTGGTCTGAAGCTCAGTATGTTGGGGCAGAGCAGCAGGGCAGGCCGACGCCTGAGTTGGCTTCGTTACAGCCAGGTACCTTCAAGACTTAGGTCAGGTACACGTGCTACTCATCGTTTAACAACGAGTTCACCGAGGACCGGTGGCGAACAGGTGGATATCAACAGAAATCCAATTCGACGAGTTTAGTTTGAAAACTTCAGAACACCATGGGCGGGTTCAGCGGCAGCCGCCACGCCTCAGGTGGGCCCAATTACCTCATTACCCCTTCCCCCAGTAGTGCCAACCTTCTTATTTTCCCTCGTTTTACCCTAATTCTCTAAATATGGTCCACATTAAATGGGAATCACTGCGACACCCCAGTGAGAAATGAAATATTGGAATGATATCAGAACGATATCTTTTGTCAATTTTTGCATCACTTTTGCATACTGAGATGGTCCTGAAACTGACACATATCTGATATTCAATATTGTTTCGATATTGGTCTGATATTTCATTTCTCACTGGGACTGCTCTTACTTTTTAGGTGGGAGATACAGTCCCCACACAAATACCTTGACTTTGAGGGTACCTATATCTTATCTTTAAGATTCCAATAGTTGGATCTGAGATTTAAAAAATAATAATAACCAAATTACAAAAAAGAAAAGAAAAGACGAAAACATGTGACCAAAATATTCAAGATTACACGTGCCCTTACAGTTTTCTGACAAATGGCAAGTGGGATTCCAATGGTTAGTTCCGTGATTTAAAAAGGAATAATAATAATCAAATAACAAAAAAGAAAAGAAAGAAAGAAAACATGTGACCAAAATATTCAAGATTACACGTGCCCTTACAGTTTTCTGACAAATGGCAAGTGGGATTCCAATGGTTAGTTCCGTGATTTAAAAAGGAATAATAATAATCAAATAACAAAAAAGAAAAGAAAGAAAGAAAACATGTGACCAAAATATTCAAGATTACACGAGCTCTTAAAGTTTTCTGGCAAATGCTTTGCAGCATATGGTAATTTCTTTGTTTTTAATTCAAATGACCTCCAAGCAGTATCCACCTCAGCTTATCAAGAGGGCGGCAACGATGGCGATGAACCAAGCGACCCCCTGCTCCATATCCTGGAGAATGAGGCCGCCCATACTTATATCGAGGAAAAAGACATTGACCGCGAGTGTCTGCCCGATTGGTTCGACGAGGCCAGATACAAGAGGTATAACGCGAGTGATTGACACGGCGTAATGTGCTACAGCCAATCACCCACTTTGTTACATTTCACATGCAGGGGCGCGCAGACTTTTGAGCGCGACATCTTCCTATTCTTCTCATGCAAGCTGAGCGGACTTCTAACCCTTCTAGCCATCCCTTCCATCGTCAAGGTCCTGGTATTGACGAAGCAATCCGGACAGCCCGACAAAGCCTTCCGGAGATACGTCGACACCATCAGGCATATGCTGTTCTGGTACCGAACAGACATCAGAGACCCCAAGTCACGGTATGCCAGGTCAAAAAAACGTTGGTGCCCTTCCCCTGCGGCCCCAAGTTCCCTATACTCCCTCCTTTCACTGCCCATTGTTCCTACATGGTTGTCAATTTACATTACCGTCAGGGCTCGAGAATCGTTGGCCGTGGTGCGGAAGCACCACCTGCGAGGGGCGGCGGCTGCTCGCCGGGCAGGTCTGCCGGGCATCTCCCAGCTCGACATGATCCTCACACAGTTCGCCTTCTTCGGATACGCAGTGCTCCGGAGGAAGCAGGACAACTTCAGTGTCTCCGACCAAGATATCTTAGACTTCGTGCACGTGTGGAGGACCATCGGGTTCCTCATCGGCATCGACGAACGGTACGATCTGTTGTCCCGCCCCGCCGCTGTTACTGGTACCGACCGATAAGAAATGAAAATGAGCTCCTTGATACCCTTCTCTTTAATTTACTTCGGCAAACGAAGGGAGAATAGCGGGTAGAACATGAACTATCAACTCCCCGATTGGTCGAGAGTTTCCCGCCTCTACGTCACGCCGGTAGTGGGGGTAGCCGCTTTACCGACCAGGAACTTTTGCGTTCTACCCGCTGCTCTTCTCCCTACGTTAGCCAAGTACAGTAAACTGTTACGCATTACTTCTCAAAAATTAGCCCTACCACTCAATATATGCAGTTGAGTACAAAAGGGTTCAATTACAAATTAACGTACAGCAAGCCAAAGTTCAAGTGTTTCCTTTACTTTCTAGGTTCAACATCTGCCAATTTGACGCAGATCTGTCGAGCACAACAAAGATACTCGAAGGCATTTGCTCCAAATGGTTGGCACCTGCATTAATCACTCCACCAAGAGAGTTTGACTCAATGTCAAGAGCACTACTTAATGGATCATGGTGTATGATGCCAGTGATAGAGTATGCCTCCTACTTGAATTACACTCAGGTAATCTTGACCGTGGCGCACATTAATCTTAGAACTGTTATTGGGTCAAACCCTTTCCCTCCCATTTGAGTGATGAACGTTTTGTTACAGGAAAGAGCCGGTGTCCCAGAGCCACTGCGTTGTGAAACGTACAAGGCCAGTGCAATTATGTTAACATTCCTCCACTTCATCCCCAACACTCTGGATTGGCCCATTCTAGGGCCCATTTTCAGAATGTATCACAATGCAAGCATGAACTTCTCCCTATTTATGTCAACGTATTACCCATTACTTGCATGGTACTCGTTTCCCCGCAACAGCAACACACGTTATCAGAGATTAGTCCCCAGTGAGACTTAAAAACGTATAGAAGTATAACAAAATATTGCAACTGACCAAAAACTGATATGAAATACATAAGGATACAAAGAAAAAGAAAATGTTTTTAAATTTTTTATATTACGAAAATTAACAGGTTACTTCTTGGGTGCTTTAGTTTTGACTGCTGCCTTCTGTGCCTTCAGAACCTTGACAACTATCTTCTGTTCTTCAATTAGGAAAGCTCGAACGATCCTGAAATTAGAACAACAAATACTATATGTCAAAGCACACCCTGACTGACAAAAGCAAAAGAGTTGAGGGATCCACAGGCCTTTCAACCAAGAAGCAAATCAAATTTTCCAGGAGATATTTAGGTAAACAGACACTAACCTCTCTTTCACACACTTATGGCAGAGAACTCCACCATAGGCACGCCTAACAGTCTTCAATCGCTTGGGCATACGGGAACGCTCCATGGGCCTGGCAGGCTGGATGCCACGGAGTGTGTCCTTGCACTGTCCACATCTGGGGATCTTGCCAGGTTTCTTCAGGTACTGGTATACAAGACGACCACCAGGAGTTCTTACACTACAACAACGGGAGCACAGAAAAATTAGATCAAACAAAGCAGAAATTAGGCAGCTATGGCAATGAGACCAATGAGAAACTAATAAAAAGTGAATTCAAATCGAACATAAGAGAGTATCCAAAACGCATGCAAATCCGAGTGCAGTAATGTATACTTCTGAATGCAGATGCACAAAAACGGTAAATAAGGTTTCGAAACACAACGAGGAATAATATATGAAACATGACTGAAAGTAAGAGAATTTAGAGTGGTAATGGGGGATTAGAGACTAAAAAGCAAGTACATAACACACGGAATTCGTGGCGTCACACACGTAATTTAGGTTAGGAAGGCTTGCATACCGGCTGATCAAAATTTAAATTGAAGGTTTGCGTGAGTTCAAGGAGACGGTTCACACGAAAGACGCAAAGAAGGGCGACAATCTACGTGAGAGGTACTTACACTCTCCTCCGGTTACTTTTGGTGTTGTACGACAGACGTCGTCGGTAAACCAAACGCTGCACCATCTTGATGTGGTCCTAGAATTGGACACAGAAACAAAGCCACATAAAAAATGAGCGCAAAAGTTATGTCTTCAATTTCAAAAAATACACCAGGCTTGTTTCAAGGAAGGTAAATGCGCGTACTTGGACGATTAAGATGGATAGAAAATGTTTTAATAGACAATGCAAACCACACACACACCTTAGCCCCACGTCCCGGAAATAGAGAAGACGGAATGTGTTTTTCTTCACCACGCTACAAATACACCGCTTTGAAGAAGATGACCAAAACGGCCTCTTCACAAAAAAGATTCCTGACAACTTCACTGCCCTCAAAATATATAAAATAGTTTGCTTCCATATCTAGCACTTTTATTGAATTAGGTATGTGTAAGTATTTATCCAATTCCATTGTGTCTACTGATACATTTTACAAATTTTCAAACGGTTCTAGATGTGTTTTCGCCTTATGTGGGATGTAGGGGTGGAGAGCAAGGGGGGGAGAGGAGGGGGGAGGGGGAGTGGGAGGAGGGGAACAGTAAAACTACACCACTCCGTGCTATGTCTAACAGAAAAATAATAAATATCTTTATGTTTGGTTTGAATGTAATACTTTGTTAACTGCACATAGCAACAGAAAAAAGAGGTAATTTTGTCGACTTGGTGAAGATATTAATAACTTCGCACTATTTTAAAAACCAGGCATTAGTTTATAGTTGTCGCGCCAGCTACAGACGACTTGTTCCACATTTTGCTCATCCTTTTCTCATTTCTTTTTGCATATACTTTCGAAATTTTCTACTCGCTGCATACAGTTTACACTATCTTGCCTATTTCTGCTTTCTGTTTTGCTTACTTTTCATAATATCAACTTCATATGCAGCGTGGAAGAAATTGCTCGCTGTGAGAGGTTATCTAGCTTAGAATGGTTGATGCTGGAAATTGAAACATGTAATTTTTTATATTTCAGACACGCACCAAGGACCGTGTCTGATTAACCATGGATCAAAAATCTAAGAGCATTGACTGCTACTTTTATTACTATTCAGAATGTGTGAGGGTAAGTAGGAATAACACAATCTTCAGTAATAATCACTTAAGTAATTCTGTTAATTCTGTGTAACTCTTGTTCCTTTACAGGGTAACTCTTGTAAATTTCGTCATGAACCTGCTGCCCTTGGGTGTGAAGATATGTGCATGAAATGGAAAGAAGGTAATTGCACTGAGCCCCATTGCGGCCAACGACACATGGAACTTAAGGTTTGTATTTCTCATGCCTGGCAACATTCGTTCATCAGAGCAATCTGTGAGTACTCTATTCTCCTGTTAATTTTGTTTACAGAAAAAGAGAAAAGAAATTCCATGTTATTGGGAAAGACAGCCTGGAGGTTGCCGCAAAGCTCATTGTGCTTTTAAGCATCAATTAAAGGGGGGCCAGGCACAAAGTGACTCTTTGAATTCACCAGAAAGTTCTAAGAAGGAAACAGATACCTCAACTCCGGACTGGCAGAGTGGTAATTATTTGTTTCTTGTTCTAAATATCGTATCTTTTCAACCTAAAGCCGTTCCTTTTTTCTGGTGTCAAACCCAGAAGTCTGGGTGTGGCCTAGAATCGAGTTCCAGATTTGCTGGGGTCTTGTTGAAGTATTTCCTGTGACTCCCCTGTAAAATTTGGTGTTCGGATTAGAATCATGTACAATCTAGAATCCAACACAAACAGAACATCCATTATTAATAGTCTTCCTTGTATGTTGTAATTCAATCACTTTGTAGGTATGTACTAATTTTTTTTCCCTATTTTCAGGCAAGGTGGATGGTGCTTCAAATCTGGAAACTGGAGTAGAGCCCCCTGTTGCCGACTCCTCACGTCGGTTGAGCCATGGTGTACCTGATAGCTACAACTCATCACCTGCCGCCGTTGAACCAATTGTAGTCAACTTCGAAGAAGGTATGCGATTGTTTTAATGAGATTGTCCTTGTACTTTGTAGTGTCTGATTTATGTTCTGTGCCTACAATCAAGTCTTGTATGACCATAAGACAAGGGATTTTGGTATTCTTTTCCAAATCCTACTTTCATACTTGTAAATTTCTTTGGTTCAACACTCACCATTATCAAGAACTTTTGTATTTAATACCAAGGTTTTATTTTAGGACAAGATTTCAAAAGATAGCAATGTTTCTTTTTCTAAGAAATGTGAAACACAGTGCCAAATTAGAATACAGTGCTAGGAGTGGTTAAAAATTTTACCTGCCTTCAAAATTAATGATTTTGTTTACTATTTGCCCAAAACTTACAAGATATCATGACATTAATTCCCCCCCCCCCTTTTTTTAAATCTTATGTCATAAACATTGTAGTACTTTCCTATCCAAAATCTCTTACCTTTTCATATTTTTTGTCATTTTATTTTTTTCTTGGCAACTTTATTATCTATCTATTGTTTCATTTTGTTGCTGTGTCATAATTTATTTATGACTGGTTTTGTTTTTATTGATTTGTGCAATATTGTTTGTTATTCTCTTCTTAATGCTAATTCAAATTTTGAAATGGGCGATCACCTGTGCAATATGTACCAAATTTTCTCATTGCATTTTTCAATACTTTTCAAGTATTGACCTAAGTATTTTGTCCTTGGCATAGGTATTCCTACTATATATCAGACAACTCAGTAAGACTTTGCACTCTGAAGGCAAGGTGATGGCTCTCTCCCTCCCTCTTCCTTAATTTAGAGTTTATTTAAATTAGCATTGTTGGTCTATCACTTTGAGTAGTTTATTTTGTTGTCTTTGCCTTATTGCTCTTCATTTATGTGGCCATTTATCTTCTTTTTTTTTTTTAAGCGGGTACAGGGCAACATCAAGCAAATCTATTTTGTTTGGGCCTGTTATTTTTTAAAAATGCATTAACCCCATTTGTTTTATATAGCTACATAATAAAAAGATTAAGAATTTCTTTTTGTATAGTATTTCACTTAGGTTTTAGTATCTATTGGATATGTGTATAACATTACCCTAATAAGAGAGATGTGGAGAGAGTAAATTTATTTCCCCCTTTTATAGTGCAATATTATATGCAAGGTGACTTGTAACTCCTCTCATTACAGTTCTTTGATACCAGAAACATCAAAATGCTGTGCGATACGATTGAAAAGAATGCACTTCCCTACTTGTATGATGACTGATTGCAAGTTCACAACTTTTAGAGCCATGAAATGCTGATGCAAGTACCGTACCTACTCCATGCTATTCGTTGTTGGGTTTTAAAGAAAAATGTCAAGGGGTTTAAAGTTTCTGATGAATAGATCTATCTTTATGCTATACATGCCCTACTACACTTGTCTTCTTTCCTCTGTTTTAAAATGCTTTCTAAGAAATTAGACAGTCTTTATATGATTAAAACAACTTTGTGTTAAAAAACTTCTGATTTAAATTTGGGGTTGACCAATCAGAACAGAATTTGTGTGTTGAAAGAATAACAATCACAGAACATCTGTATGGTTTAAGTTACAGAAAGATAATGAAACTTTTTCACTGCCAGTGTTAATGAAAAATTTCAATATATTTCAGTGCTCCATGCAAAGATGTAAAACTGTTAGTCCTGTAAACTCAGTTCCTTCTTGGGCTAGCTGTTTTGTCAGTGTGTAATATTGGTTATGTCTGTGTGTTACATGCCAGAAGATTGTGAAATGCAGAAATACCTTTCAGCTATGACTGGATTTCTTCTTTCTCTTCTTAGCTATTGTAACTTCATGCTTTAAAATAATCAAGTTTCACCTACAAGAAGCTTTTGATCTGTGTAGTGTATTTAGGAAGTGAATTTTTTATCTTTGTGGAACCCGGTTATAATGTTGGCACTTGTGGCTACTATGAAGCAGGTTGTTTTCACCTTACAAAATAGGGCTTAGGAATCAAATACACACATTTTTAATGTTTAACTGTTGATGTTATAGTCGGGTTCCACTCTATTTTAATAACTTAATAATAACAATATAAAGTTTCACTGACTCTTCAATGTTTTCATTCTCTTAGAGACAGTTGTGTGGTATTAAAATTTGGGGTGACAAGACTTTTATTAACTGTGTATGCACTGTAATTTGTGTATCACTTTTAAATATTCTTAACTTATATTTTAGCAAGATTTTGTACTCCACTTGTTTTTTTTTTATTTTGTCTCATCAAAATGATGTTAACAAAAGGATCTTTTGGTGTGGGAGGGATATTAGAGAAGTTCAATAATTGCTTGCTCAAATAGATTTGCAGTTCGGTATAGTAGAGGAATTGACTGTATGTTTACGACCTTCTCCCCAGAATCTCAGCTATTGGTTTTCAATACTTTTCTGACTAGTCAGCCTCTTTGCATTTGACAAAGTAGCGCAAATCCTAGCAATTTTGTTTGGGCCATTGAATAAGTTTATCTATCTTTGTTACATGTAACAGATTTGTTTATTTGTTTCAATTTGAAGCTACATTCTGGCAGCTTTATTGATAGTTTTGGAAATGTTTAGTACAACCACATGCAGGCAGCACATCCATTGCCATTCATGACGGAATATTTTTCTCTTTCAGGCGCCATGTTATATCATATCCATCTAGTTCTTTGTCTTGTATTTACACTGTGGCACATGTGCTTTTCCAAACTTGTTGAAAATAATGTGAATCTATGTAAAATTCTGCATTATTTCGGGGATATACCTTGAAAGAAAGGAACCTGTACATCATGTTTGACCCCATTTGATTCTTTAATGAATAATGTTGGTCTCCAGCTGTTTGTGGATTTGGCTCCCCCTGTGTCGGTGTCTCACTTGTTTGTGTGTGACCTCCTAGTTTCAGATCCCATCCGTTCTTGGGCTTAAATGTTTTGTGTTGTCATATCAGCATCCCCCCCCCCCCCCCCTCTCTTTCTTTTATTTGTCTTCTGCTTCTTTTTTGAAAAGGAGAGGAGATGACTACTTAGCTGTTGTTTTCTGTTTTGTTTCTATGGCGATTTTTTTTTGCACTTATCGTATAAATTTATTTTGCAAGTGTGTAGGTTTCAGCACACTTTCATGACAACTTATTTGAATAGCATTTAAAACGGTATTGTCATAAATCAAGTAGTCCTTCCGTCTACAATCAAACGTTTTTGCTATGGTATATGTGTAAAATTAAGGAGAGCTTTTCCACTGCCTTAATAAAGACAATTCAGGTACTTCAAACCCTCATTTGAAATAAAAACTAATAATCTTATGTCTTGTCAGAGTAACAGGTATAAATTTCTACATCAATTTATATTTTTTTCCTCAGTTTTTCCTATCCCTCTTAGATTAAGTAGTTTGGGTTTGGTGTTCATTTGAGTTGTCAAACTGCAGTTAAGAGTTTTTTTGTTTTTTCCATAATTTTGATTCAGTTTTATTATAAAGTATGTGTGCCTTATTATTACCATACATTTAGATAAAATGTAAAATTGAAATTGCTTCCCTTGTTTAATGTGCAAAGCAATTTTTTCACTCAATTTTTATTACATATACTATCTGATGATTTTGGCATTTGTGTATATGTTAGTTTGTGACTTGTCCTTTTTTTTTTTCCTGATAACCATAAGAAGAGGTTTATAATGAATAAAAATAAATATAATGGCCTCACCAAGCAAATCTTTTTATGCAGCAGAGTTTGGTTTATTTATTTCTTCCGAACTGCAAGAATTCACCTTGAGAAAAGTGGCTATCTCCCTTCAGCATCTTTTAGTTAAAGAAGTCTTAAACTGAGGAAGCACCGAACAGCTGATTGTTTTTTACTCATAAATCCTTAGTTGTCACAGTTAATTTCTGTCTACCAGGTCACACTTTAACAATTCAAATCTTCACCATTGAGACTGATGTGCTTGTTGTTTCTGACCAGATAATTGACAATGTCCCCAAATGATATCATTTTTTTTTTCCCTGTTTTTTGTTTGCTTGTCTAGGTGATGGAAAGATATATTACTTCCCATTACTATAAAAACTAATGGCTTTGCTGGGGTGGTGTTCTTGCAGAATCAGACTCAGAAAGTGCCCCATCTTGGACTCCCACAAAGGTGCAGAAGGAGAAGGACTCATTACATGTTAAGACGCTGGAAGAGATTCGCCTTGAAAAAATCCAGGCGGAATCAGCTGCATACTGGGAAGGCATTGCAGGTGGACCAATGGCATGGGAAGCTGCCAACCCAGCTGCAAATCCATCAGCCAGTCCTTGCAGTACAGTTCCATGTCCTCGTAAACCTTGTGTTGCCACAACCATCGGCTTTAAGAAAGCTACCCTTGGCGGTAATCATCTTAAAAATAATGTGACTAAAGAATTAGATTTTCGAGTACTAAGTTTAGATGAAATTAGAAAAAATCGAGCAAGAAAAGCAGATGCAAATAGTACATTTCTGAAAGACGAACTTAATCATAATATTAATATGTCTTCTACTGCAACAACAAATGGTTATAGTTCTGATCAAACAAAAGATTTTAAAGCTCATTTAGGTATTACTGATTTGAGAACAAAACTTTTAAAAGTAAAAGCAGATGGTTTAGAGGTGTTAAATAGTGCTGACACATGGAGCTCCAAACGTCAACGGCAAGAAACTTCTTCGTTTTGTGTTCCCTCAAAAAAACGAGTCAGAATGTCAGGAAGATTGAGTGATCTAACAGGACAAAGGACTTTAGCAAGAAACAATCATGATGATGAAGATGGGGAAAAGTTCTGTGTGGAGGCGGATATTGACGGTCACATTATTGGTGATATTGACAGACTTCTTATGGAGTAAGGATAGAATTTGTTTGTTGCAAAAGAAAGAAATGGTAAAATCACCATGACAAACCTTGTTTCCTTGGTTGTTTCATGATGCTGTAGTTTTTCAATATCTTTTGTCACAAAGCCATCATGTTGAGACAACCTCATTCTATACAAATAGGCACCATTCCAATGTGTGATTTGGCTCAAGTTTTGTTTAAAATAGTTTTTCTGTAAGCTTGTGGATTTTACCACTCCACTGATGACTTCTATGCTTCATCTTCTGTGAAATCAATACTGATGTGCATTTAAATTGTCTTAGTTCTTCTCAGATAATTAACACATTACACAACATTACTAATGCTATTAATGTTTACCCTCTGTCCATGGATTCATTTGCTAATAATTTAAACTGTTGACTATTTTTGTACTGTGGTTTGTCAGTGTCTTTCTTCTACCCAACTTTTAATTATTCTCATGTGGAATAATTATGACAATTAGTGGATTTGTGAAACAAATAATTGTTTTCTTTTCTGCTCAGGATTGTTTTGATTTGGTTGCATCTTGAATTGTGCCCAACTCTGCTGTGATATGTTAGCACACTAAGCTTTGGATTTAATGTTTTTCTTGTTCCATGTTTTGCATGGGACCGTTTCTGTCACCTTCAAATATTTCTGGTTGAAGGCACTTTTTTGTACTGCTAGTTTGTAACATCCCTTGTCCATGTGTTCATATGATTGTATAGGACTTAAAATTTAAGTACAAAGTCATTGTAAGAACATCATGTATCATTGACAATCTTGATGTTCATTACCAGTGCCGCATAGCAATAAAGACACGTGTATCTTCATTCTTCATTTTAGAGATATGGATGAATTTTTTTATGTTAGTAATTTGTTGTTTTTTTTTCCTTGTCAAATAAACTTTAAAAAATCAAAAGATTTTTGGACATTCTGAATGATCCACTTGAGTCCACAAGACAAACCAACAAATTATAAGTAACAGCTGACAAGTAATACCTAGATTTATTTAATCCTTGTGTAACTAACAATTACTTTAAACAAAAAACAGGAGTCATTTCTTTTCTACCGAACTAGAAGCTTCCTGACCCTCCTTTCCTCGAATTATTTCATCACGATGTTCCATTTCAGCTTTATACCTTTCATAATGTGCAAATGAATTATCTTCAGGAACTGGCATCACAGGTTGTGAATCAAATGAACACGTCATCATCTTACTTGCACTATGAACTGTGTACAGCCCAAAATGTTCAACTATATGTCCTGTGAAAAACACAAAGAGGGTTATTCTTAAGAGCACATATCAAGTATAACAAAAATAATTTAAATGTATGAATTTTATATTATTTCTGAGGTTGAGAGTAAACTTTTATTGACATACCAACAACTTCTGCTTTAAGATTAAACTGTAGAGCAAGTTTTTCAATACTGTTTGTTTCCTTATCCGATTGATACAGTGAAAGGAGACGGACAGCTTGACGTAGTGTTAACTGACCAGGAGGAATAGAGTCAGGTTCTACATAACCATAGTCCTCAGGTTCATATTTTCTTGCAACAGGTAAGGGTCTGTCGGGATTTGATTTGATATTTGATTCTAACGGTAGCTGTAAAAAAGTAGAAATATGATAATTGTATTATCAGCTAAGAGGCCATAAAATAATAAATGTCGAGACTTTTGAGTACCGGATCAGTTGAAGACACATATACATCCTTTAATCGATTAATGAGCTGAGGGTTTGGTTTACTCAACTCGCTCTTCAAGTCAGGATTTTCTGTAAGTAAAGCAATTACATAATGCTGACAGCAGTAGAGGGCAGGTAATGTTAATGTTCAGAGAACTCTGAGTGCAGTGTGAGTCTCTTCAAATCCATCTCTTATGTCATTTGAAAGTGTTCAAACGGTCGCTCTCAAACTAAGCTTACCTGCATTAAGAATTTCTATCTCTTTCTGAGTGGCAAGTGGCTTAGGTGCTACAACTTTCACATTACTCTCAAGAAATTTGTCAGTTCGACTCTCGATGTTAAAACGACGAGCCTTTTTTAAAGCAAATCTTCCAATACTTCCAGCAACGTTCCCCATTTTGAGAAATCAACTAAATTCTAAATCAGTCACTTCAACTTGACTCAAAAGCAGAAAAGGAAAGACAGGTTAGCGCTCTTTACGTTCGGCTATATTTTTCATTGGGTGTGGACCTGCCCAATTTCTCATAGATGGAACACGATAGGCCACCCGCCATACATGTCATTTATTTGGGCTAGGTTTGGATTTGCGGCTTTTCGTTAACAGACATCTCGGAAGGTTTACTTCTGTGTATTCTCCCCTTTTATCTTCGAGCAGCCATGGTAATTAACATCTGTAGTCTACTCTCCTTTTTTTTCTAGTGATTGATCTTTTAATTTTGTGTGTGCCATACCCTAAGAAATAAATATCGCTCGCTGTTAGGTTATGACCGGCATGAGCAAGCGCCAATCATGACTTGTCAGATCGAGAATACATTTCCTTCTTTCTAAGTTTTTTATGGACTCGCTGTAGTGACAGAGCTTAACTCATTGATTTCTGGAACTCAGAATCTTTAGTCGGACCTACAGGAAGAGCTTAAACGCAGCCTCATTTTTTTATAGCTGTCAGATGTGTTGATGTGTTGCCATTTAAACGGTTCCCAGACTAAAATTACTGTATGTTGTCTTTCCTATTATTTGTTACAGTTTCGCAATCAGTACGATAGTGATGTCACAGTTTGGAGCCCTCAAGGGCGACTCCACCAGGTGGAGTACGCTATGGAGGCAGTAAAATTAGGATCAGCCGCAGTTGGTATTAAGAACAAAACTCATGCAGTTTTGGTTGCCTTAAAGAGAGCGTCATCAGAACTTTCAGCTCATCAAAAAAAAATTATTCCAATTGATAAGCATCTTGGCATGGCAATTACTGGACTGACTGCTGATGCTAGAATGTTAAGGTAATTCCCATCAATTATTTGTTTTAGAGATGATATTTACAGAACATTTTCAAATATTGTGGTCTACTCTTCCAGCCGATACATGCGTACTGAGTGTCTCAATTATCAGTATGCTCACGATTCTCCACTTCCTGTGTGCCGTCTTATTGCTAACGTTGGTAATAAAATGCAAAGTTCAACTCAGAGATATGACCGTCGTCCTTATGGAGTAGGACTTCTAGTTGCGGGTTATGATGTATGTATATGCCGTTAATTTATGTATTATTTGTGAAATTTTTGTGCCTGACAAGTGTGGTACTTTTGCAGGACCAAGGACCTCATATTTATCAAACATGCCCATCTGCTAATTTCTTTGATTGTAAAGCTATGGCCATGGGGGCCCGCTCCCAAAGTGCTCGCACATACCTTGAAAAGCACTTGTTGGAATTTCCTGAATGTGATAAAGATGAACTAATTCGCCATGGTTTGAGGGCACTGAGTGATACTTTGCCAAATGAAGTTGAATTAACTGTCAAGGTAAGTCATTTACACGACTACAACTCATTCAGTATATTTCTCCTTGAATCCACCCAACAAATGCTGAAAATTGTATTTTGCATCTAGAATGTGTCCATTGGTCTGGTTGGTGAGAAAACTCCCTTCTCAATCCTGGATGAGCAAGAAACGGCTGTTTATTTGACATCTATTGAGCATGAGGAACGTCGTGGTGGAGGTTCATCGGGCTCTAAGGCTTCAAAGTCATCAACTCAGGCTGCAGGAGAAGGTGGCCCACAGGACCCTGAAGTGGCTGTTGCCATGGAAACTGATTAGTAATCTACCCAATTTCATTATCTTGTATTTGGGTTTTCCTGCATAAGTTCATAAATAATAAATATACATATTTTTAAAAAACACATACGATTGATTTATTGGAATAAAAAGACAGCAACATTAAGTCAAAAATATTAAATAGAATGACCTAATACATGCAGTTTATACGAGATCAAACCATTGCAACCAGTACACAGTAACAATATTTATACATTATATACCCATTAGGTACACTTAAAATTAAATTTAAATTGTGATGCTACTGCTCACAATTATGAATCTTCTTTAGCCTGCTGGGCAATACGGTGTTTCATTTGCAATTCAAATCTCTTATTCAATCTGACTGTATTCAATGCATGCTTAGCTTTCGACATTGGACTATTCCTATTCAAAAGGAAAGAATTACAATTAATAGTATACCTTTAAGTCCTGAAATAATAACTAAAAAAAAAAACAATGCCCTACCTTTTCATGGGTTTTCGTCCCATAACACTTGCTTTAAAAGCTTCTTTTCTTGAATGCTCAGCTTTGGTAAATCCAAAATTACTTGCAAATCCGTTTCCTTTGAAATAAAAAGAACAATTATAATGGCATGATAATAGTGAGCAGCAATGGAGATGTTATTTTAAGCATACAAGAAGTCCTTACTTTTGATGTTCTGTTCAGGCTTGGGTGATTGTAACTTTGACACACCAGTTATAACAGATCCGGTCGATGGCCTCTTCTGGATTGAAACTACTTTTGATGCAAATGCAGAACCAATGTTTTGGAACAGGGGCTTGGGTGATACTAGTTTGGATTTACCCACTTTAGGAGACAACAACTTCCTAACAGCTTTCGCTTTAGGAGGGCTCTTTTTACCACTCTGTCAATCAAAATTAACCAGATAGTCAATAAATTTAAAAGCCATAAGTTGAATGCACCAACCACACTCACCTTCACTTGAAGTTTCTGTGAGGAAAAAGCTCTATCTTTCACTTTTTGGACAGAATCAGCAATAGATTCCATTTTATCAAAAAGCCTATTGTGAATAGCATTGAAGTCAGGAGCTTTTTTAGCAAGAGTAGGTTTGAATCCAGTTGAGGTACTTGCCATTTCTGAAGAAAAAATTTAAATGTATTAAGAAATGTGGTACTTAAAGTTATGCAAAAATGAAAAAGTATAAGTAAATTAAAAACAAACTTTGGGTGGAAACTTCTGCTTTCTTTCTTTGGATTTCATTTATTACGGATGGAATTTTAGATTTTGATCCAGACAATCTCTTTGCAGAAGATGTTAATTCCTGGACTCTTGCACGGGATGTAATATTCTGGCGTTGATACCCAAAAGTACATTTAATGGAAGACGGAGTTGCAACACTAATTATTTTAGGCTGATATGGTGTTCGCAGTGACCCTCGAGCAGGTTTCTTGGTTTCAGATACACAACTTGGTGTAAGTCTAGCATTGGAAGAACGACTTCTCAGTTTCATTTCAGCAGGCAAATTGGATACAGTATCTACCTCAAATGTACCTTCCCGCCTCAGTTTAGATTTGTGCGAGTCATTGGTAGAGTTCTTTACTTCCTCCACTTCAAATGTGCCTTCACGTCTTAAAGTATGGCTTTGTACTGTTTGAGCATTATCTTCCACTTCAAATGTGCTTTCTCGTGTCAACTTTGAAGTTCTGGTATTAGAAGAAGTTTTCGTGAGGCTCTTCAAATTCTCAACCTCAAAGGTACCTTCTCTTCTCATACTGTGAGAAGATGCCTTCTTATTACATGCTTCCTCTTTGTCCTCAATCACCTCAAAAGTCCCCTCCCTCTTCATCTGGTGACTTTGTGTGGGTTCATGCGCATACGTATCAAATGTTCTCTGACGAGTTATTCTCCTAGAAGCTGGATCTGGAGAGGGCTTCGGTTTTCTTTCAATTTCAGTGGTTTTCAGACATTTTCCTCTTTTAACCCCAGTATTTATAGATTTCGCAGGGCCAGCAAGAGACCTCCTCAAAGGTTGAGAGTTGTCTGATTTGCAGCTATATATGGTAGGGGATTCGTTTTTAAGAGAAATAGAAGAACTATTCAAAAATCTTTTTTTCTCTGATAAAGGATGACGAGGTGAGAAAGTAGCTACTTTGGACCTCTTATTGAGTTGCTCTGTTGGGAACAAACAAAATTCTTTAAGTGATAAATACAAAACAGTGAAACAGAATAAAACTCCTGTTTGGCAAATCAAAACTAGTTACCTTCATGTTGCCAGGTCAAGTTTGGTTTGACAGTTTTGTCATGGGGAGATGTATTCTCAGTACCATGCTTGGAAGTTTCTGAATCTGACTCATCGTCCTAAACACAGTAAGTTTACAGCAAATATAGTAACAGATGTCTGAAGGTGGAGGAGCAACAAACTGCATAAGCTCTTATAGTCAAAGCATTCTTACCGTAAAGGAAGGCATAGAAACATCACTCAAGGTTTCAGGGGGAGACTCATTCAAAGCCAGTAATTTCTCAATCAACTCAGCCTAAAACATATTTTTTTAAATGAAAGGACCAATACTACTGAATACATTAATTAACGACATGTTAAATATACGTTGTGTACCTTTGGCGCGTAACGACGGTAGACTCCATTCTCTTTAGCCAATTTCACCAAATCTGCGTACTTGTGAGATTCCAACACTCCTTTATCAAATGTAGCCATCTCAAATACTTCAGTGAGACGTGGTGCACAAACGCATTGACAATCAGTCCATCAAAAACCAAATACAAACATGGGCACGGACAGAATGTTTGTTGTCATTTCAGTTACAGCCGTTGACTACTTTCGAATTTGAATTCGTCGGGATGGTCGGTCCCGGGGAGGATAGCAGGACGAGCCGAACTTCGGGGAGGCGGAGCCGAGCCAGCCGAGCCAGAGCCGAAGCAGAGTTGAGTCGGCACTGGTCAGCACTAGTCGGCACGGCACGCACGGCACTCACCCAACGCGCGGCGCATGCCAGACAGAGACCACACCAGAAGGCAAGTTCGCCCCCCCCCCCCCTTCGCTCTCTATACCACATTCGTGTTTCTTCTGAATTAGACCCCCTCAAAAATGTATAGCCTGTTTATTTCATAGCCATTTTGGTAAAGTGTAGGGTGCGGCTCAATCTCACACTCATCTCTTTCTGAGCGCTCGAGCGTTCACGCTGGGCTGAACTTTACTTGCGAGGCCCCGACGAATAGATTTCATCGTTTGAGAATTTGTGTACCGTACTCAGGGGGTTCTTAAGTTCGCTCAAGAGATCATTGTCGAACAGCTCTTCAGCATTGTCAGTTCCAGCATCAACAAATATGGACAAGATTGCGAGCACAGGTCACGGTGGAGGGACCGTAGCACGAGTCGTTGAATCTTAACCGTGTGTCGTATTAATGTCGTCTTCAAACTCGACTATATTTCTTACCAAATAGGTCCCGATGTCGTCTTGATATCATCTGAGCATCGGGACGAATTAAATGCCGCATAAATACCATTTTCAGCATCAACCTCGCATGCAGGACGGCCGCGAGAAGTTCAAACTAAACAAACCCCGCGGGAATAACCTCGGCGCGTCACGAAGGTGTCACGTCCGTCACGGCCTCGGCTCCGAAGCGCCCGGCGGCCCGAGGATGCACGCCCGCCGCACGCCGCGGTGGCCGGGTTGCCCAACCCTACGGCGCTAGCCGCTGCGGGCTCAGCGAGCTCGGCTCTGCTACAGTGGCAGTGGCACACGTACGCGTACGCGGAACCGGTTCGTGAGTCCCAAAACTGTGATGGATCGTGGAACGTCCTCTCTTTGACCGCTCATTTGATCGGATGAGATATTTAGCACTCATTTAACAACAACACCAACTACCAGGTGGCTGATTCACGCCGCGCACTTCTGTAGTTATGCTGTACCGCATGCACGGGTGCGGGCTGGTTGCCTACTCGCTCGGCTCGTAAGGCGCCGTGGACAGGGGCGATAGGCAAGCCCGCCCGCACTCGTGCATGCGATACAGTATACCTACAGAAGTGCGCGGCGTGAATCAGCCACCTGGTACAATGACAATAGAGTTTATAGTATCCGTCAAAGGATGGAGGAGCGAGACCCGGTAGCATCAAATTGGTACGGGCAACAATATTGGGGCAGATTAGAAACAGACGCTGGTCTCAAATTTGTCTCATCTCCTCGACGGAAATTTTTCTTCTTTACCGGTACTTTGTTATTTGCAGTGCCGTCTCCCAGCTTCCCCACCGAGCGGCCGGTGACTCACCCCGTACATAATGGGGCAGGACCGTTTAGCCCCACGGGGTTGCGGTTGAGGCGTCGCCCCTCGCTGCCGGCGGGACTGTGCAGGGAAGGGTAGGGGAGGCAGGAGCACCTTCCTCTCGAGCGAGGCTGAGTCACACCGGGTCTGAGTCACACCACCCGCCCCACAACCCCTCCTCTTCGGCCGGAACTCTCCGGTCTCCTTTTATCAACCCCCCCCCCCCTCGGCTCTCCCGGATTTCTTGCCGTTCCGTTTCACTCCATGTCCTCTACTCCCCGTTCCAGTTGCTCGAAGTACAAACCATTTTGTTCGGACACAGTATTGGTCCCCCCCCCACGCCCTTTTTTGTTTTCTCGTATCGTAGAATACGATATCCCCCTCCCCCGCCCGATAAAGCGACATGGAATTTCAGCACTTTCTCCTGCTGGAGCGCGAGTCCCACTCCTGAGAACAGTTTTTTGATAATAATAAACACTACGAGGCCATGCATTATCGGCGGCCTGTGCGCGTCAAGGACGGACGCAGGCCCACCACCCGCGCGCCCTGTGGGTAACTGTGGGTCGTGGTGACGTCATCCCCAAGGACGGGGAGGGCGCGGCGGCTGATCAGTGTTGGGGATGAAAAATAAACAATGTTGTTGTGTTCCTGCGTGCAAGAGGGGGCGGAAGGGGGAAAGGCGCGTAGGTCCTCAAAATGAAAAGTCTAGAAATTTTATGATCACCTTTTTTTCTTTCCTTTTTTTTCACTTCTTCTTTTCGTAGGTGTCCTTTTCCTTGTAGCCCTGCACGTACCCCGAGTTGTCGGCGATGTCGGCGCGCCCCTCCAGGCCTTTGCCCTTGCCGCTCGCGTCGAAGCGCTCCTTGTGCGACCCCGTGTACTTGGAGGTGTCCGTCAGCCGGTCCACCCCGCCAGTCTTGACCGCCTTCTGCTCGGGCCAGAACGAATTAGAGGACCAGTCGGTGTTTGATGGCGGGTCATTCACCATCGGGCGTATCAGAGCGGAAGTCGCAGCGTCCCAGGAGGGTGCAACCGGGTGCAACGCTGCAGCATCCACTGATACACCCCGGCACAACCTCGCACTCAACTCACCGTGGCCCCCGACGTCCCAGGCAGGCCGCAGTCAACCAGCCTGGTTTTGAGGTCGTTCGCGTCCATCTTCTTGACAGAGGCCAGCTCTTCCAAGTACTTGACAAAGGTCTTGTAGTCGATGTTCTTGGACCTAGGACAGCGCAATGATAATGAGCAAAATGTGGGCCTTGCGCTTCGCGTCAGCGTGGCTCTCAGGAATGCACGATAAAAGCGACTGCTTTAATCAAGTAGTCGCTTTTAACGTGTAGCAGACGAGACTCACTTGAACTTGTTGAACTGGATGCCAGTGTCAGTGGTGGTGATCTTCTTGCCGTCGATGAGCTTGGCCTGCTTCATCCACTTGTCGCTCTGCGTCAGCGTGATGGTCTTGCCGTCGCTCCTCGAGTCACCGAACTTGCTGAACGCCTCGAACTGCGCCTCGAGGGAGCCGCTTCCACCGGCAGCCATGGCCTGCTGGGACTCGGGGACGGTCAGCCTCGGGGTCAGCCTCGGGGTCGGCCTCGGGGTCAGCCTCGGGGTCAGCCCATGGCGCACATAGCACGACCGGAGCTGGAAGTACGTCGGTACCTCGGTACCTAGGGAAGGGACTCACTCAGGGGAGGGGGAGGCAGGGCAGGGGTGGACCGGGGCGGCTGTGGATGCCTGGGCTGGGGCGCGCCGGGGGGACGCTCGGGGCACGCTGCGGCCGCTGTGGCTGGGAGTGAGGAGTGAGGGTTGTCAGGGAGACCAGCGCGGCCAGCGCCCGCCAACGCGGCAATAATCGGGGGCCATTCGCGGCCTCCGCGCTCCACAGTCACAGCCTACGAACCAATGCGAGTAGACAGAAGCATAAAAAAGATAAAAAGGATGTCCCAGAGGCCAAGCAGTTCAGCCGCGGGTGCACCCATATTTAATTATTTAAGAAAAAAATTAAATTCACACCACCGGAATGCACTAACGAGTCAAGGTTTGAACCTCTCGATGAAGTCCGTGTGTACGACACACGATCCTCCATCTCAATATTTCCTGACTGGTTACCACGATGAGTACGGCTCATTTTTGGTGTCCGTGATTGAATATTTGAGCTTGGCCAACGAGGTGGTCACATAGTGGTCACGCCACACTGAATGTGTTAATCGTATCTAGTTCGTGGATTCACTGACAGGACAGGACAAAAATGCATTATTATTCGGGAGTCTGGAAAAAAATCTGGTTTGCACCATACAGTGTGTCTCGTCGCACTCAACGTGTTTTCTGTTCCGTAACTTTTTTGTGTGCATGGTTTGGAACTGAATTGGAGACGCCAGAGCTACCCCTGCACCCTTCAGGTTTGTCTGTGGTCCTCGCCCTCACCCTCGGCCTCGGCCCGCCACCCCTCGCGTCCTTGGGCCCTGCCGCCCGGCCTCGCCACCCCCTCGGCCGCCCTCGGCGGGGGCTGCGCGGGGTAGGCCACGCACCGCCACGCTCTGCCACGCTCCTCCACGCTCCGCCACGCGTCCGAATATGGGTCACGCGCTTTATTGAGCCTCTTAATTCGTCACGACCTCAGAGGGCTCCAACTCCCCCAACAGTGATTTTTATTTTTTCATTCGCCGGGCCGCCCGTCAAAACGCGTTCACTTGTCCTCTGAGAACGGCACCAGACGCCGAGCCGCGCCCAGGA